ATCAGCCACTCCTCGGAAGGAAGGTTGGGCAACCCTACTTCCGTAGTGATACTGCCTCGGAAACCCAAGGAGGGGTCGCTATGAGTCGGGGCTGACTCGAGGGCATATATCAACAACAACAACAACAATACCTGGAGAAGGACATCCTACTTGATAAAGTAGAGAGTCAGTGAAAAAGAGAAAGAAGACCCTTAACAAGATAGATTGACATAATGGCGGAAATAGTGGCCTCAAACATAGCAATGATTGTGAGGATGATGGAAGACCAAGCGACGTTTTGTTCTGTTACAAAAGGTCGCTGTATGTCAGAACCATGTTGATAGGACCTAACAATGATGACAGCTGTATAGTTGACTTTATTTGCTTTCTTTCGATTCTGGACATAAGATAATCCTTCTGTAACTGATGTAAAAGATTCTTGTTTTATTTTACTTTGTTGTTGTTGTTGTTGTTATTTGCCATCGAGTCAGCCCCGACTCATAGCGACCCCTCCTTGGGTTTCCGAAGCAGTATCACTACGGAAGTAGGAATGCCCAACCTTCCTTCTGAGGCGTGGCTGGTAATCCATCCACATTCAGTGTGAAACCACCAGCAAGTGATTTATTACAATGGTCTGGTATTGATAGTCTATTTAACTTGAGTATAATAAGGTCTCTAATTGTACTGTCCTGCCCTTTGTTTTACTGGCACACTGCTCACTGTGTGATTTTCAGATTGTTTTTCTTAGATCCCAGGGTTCCAGAGGTGCTGTAAGAATTTTTCAAAATTTAATTTTAATTTCATTTTACAAATGAAGCTTAACATATTTAAAATCCTGTGATTAAAAAATGCCAAACATGCCCATTCTAACTTAAAATGCTAAAGACAACTGACCTGTTGTCAGGGTAGCTCATCCTTTATAGAATTCAAAATAAAGCTTTTCATGCTTTATTCATTTTTTTGAACTTCTTAAATATGTGTCCTAATTAGGAAAGTTATGACTCTGGGTTAGTGACTTTTAAAAAAATTGCAGCTCAACATTCATACGGAGGAAAAGCTGGATAGACAGGAGTGCATAACTAAGAAGAGCACAGGGATGGGGGTGTCACTGGGAAGGGAGAGGAGGAGAGTGGGCTAAGATTGTTGTTGTTGTTGTTGTTGTTATGTGCCTTCGAGTCGGCCCCGACTCATAGCGACCCCTCCTTGGGTTTCCGAGGCAGTATCACTACGGAAGTAGGATTGCCCAACCTTCCTTCCGAGGAGTGGCTGGTGGGTAAGATTACGAATGGTAATTGGGGAGTGAAACAAAATGTACATGAACTGTTGAATGTAAACCAAATTCTGCTCTGTAAATGTGCACCCAAAAGCACAATTAAAATTTTTTTTTTTTTTTAAATTTGCAGCTAAGATAGTGTACTAAAAATGCTTAAAGAAAGCTGGCAAAACCCATGATTTGTGTTTCTTTATATCTTCTCATATATAAAACAGATGCAATCTAGCATATTTATCAACTGTTTAGCACCATAGGGATTTCTTTGATTAATCTTGTCTGTAGTCTTTTGAAGCTCTTACAGCATACTCTAACTACACAATAATAAAAGAAGTTTGGATGTCTGAAAATGAACTTTATTCCATTTGGTGATATATTAACAGATGCATACATGAAATGAATGGAGACTGGTCAGTACATAATATTTGCTAAGTAAAAAATATTGATAGGCACTGAAAAATTTCCATATGCTTGCTGCAAATCATTAATTGTATAATACAGTTCTCCATTTTTGACTGCAGAAAGAAGAGCGGTGTTATAGTTGAGGTATCATAGAAGCAAAAAGTGGTGGTGGTAGTTGTGCACTGTCGATTCTGACCCACAGCAACTCCATGTGATGGAATGGAGCTGTCTCATAGGGTTTCCTAGGCTGTAATCTTTAGGGATATAGATCACCAGGTCTTTTCTTCCGTAGAGCCACTAGTGGATTCCAACCAATGATGTTTCAGTTAGCTGCCAAACGCTTAACATTATGAGGCATCATAAAGGCAGGAAATGGTTAGGATTGGGGAAACTAGCATTACAGCTCTGTTTTTGCTATCTGTAGGGCTTTTAGGGAAGCCATTTAATTCCACAAAGCTTCACTTTACTGACCCACTTCCTTTACAAGATTGTTTTGAAAAGTTAGCATAACTGAGGTTGATTTTAAAAGTATTAAGTGTTATATTTTATAAGCTGTTACAGTTTCTGAAATATATTTTAGCTTTCATTCTATCTGTGTTTTTACATTTTCCCCCCAAAATATTCATTTCTTAGGGCATTACACTAGAGGAGTTTGACAGCTTATCTTTCAATATGATTTTAATGAGCCCTCCATGTCAGCCATTCACAAGGTATGTATGATAAATATTTCTCTGTTGAGGAAAAGTACTTTTTTTTTTTTTTTTTAATTAGGATTTGGGTGAAGATTTAAAGAGTAAATTCACTTTTCATACAGCAGTTCACATATACTTTGTCTCATGTCATTGACCAAAATTTACAATGCAGCAGCTCCCCTCCCACTTCCTCCCCATAGTTACCTCCTCCCAGTGTCCATCCCTTCATACTCTTCGAGAGGCCCATTGTCTGCCAACCCTGTATATGATCTTGGATACACTCTCCATTTAGACATACATAATTGTTTAGCTTGTTCACCCATCTATCCGTCCCTATACCCATGTTTGCTTTCATTAACAACTCAGTATTGTATTTACAAAGGGGTTCATATTTGTTGTTTGTCCTGCCCATGTAACTCTCTCTGTCTTTCTCATCCTCAATGCTGCCATATTGGTCACTCACATTTGGTACATTGCCCTTCTCTTCACCCAAATCAATATTTATCTCTATCTATCTAACAGCATTCCCTCCCCTTCCCTCCCACCCCTGGTAACCAACAAAGAAAATGTCCTCCAATATATAAACATTTCCTTAACTTTTACAATAACGGACTAATACAATATTTGTCCTTTTGTGACTGACTTATTTCGCTCAGCATAATGTCCTCCAAGTTCATCCACGTTATGCGGTGTTTTGCAGATTCTACATTATTCTTTAGCGTTGCATAGTATTCCATTGTGTGAATGTACCAAAGTTTGGTTATCCATGAGGAAAAGTACTTTTGAAGGACTCATTAAATCAAATCATACCATAGTTTTAGGCATGGTACTTTGATAATCCATCAGCTACATTTTCATAGTTTTGAAAGTTTTCCTAAGTAATTCCTTTCATCTACTTATATTTGTAATTCAGCATTAGTCATAAAGGAAATAGCCATTGCTGTCATATGAGAAAGCTAATTAGGCCAACAGTAGAATGCAATGACTACGTGGAACTCTTTTATACCTACCTAAGATAGGTATTTTTATTTCTGGCACAAATTACCTTTAATTATTTAAACTAGTGGACACTCAGGTGTATCTTTCTAATAGTGATTTATCCAAGTGAATTTCCATTATCTATTCAAGTCCTAAATCACTTAAATGTAAAATTTTAAAGGTAGTCAAGCTTTTATATGTGATTTTTATATTTCTTAAAATTCATATGTACATATTCCTTATTATATTGTAGTTTAACTTTTTAATTATTTATTCTTTAACTGTGTGTTTCATGGAATTATATCTTAGATGGAAATCTTGACTGATTCTTCTTCATTTAAATATTTTAATAATAATACTTTAAGTAGTTTAATAATAATCCTTTATATGTCTTACAAAGTGTATGCCATTCAATTTAACAAGCCTATGTCAGTAGCCATTACCACTATCATCATTCTGTAGATGAGAAACTAAGCGTAGAAAGTTTGTTAAATAACTTTCCCAAAACCATACAATTAGAAAATATCAGGTCCAGGATTTGTCAATCATTTAAAATATTCCTGTTCTAGTATGTAAGATTTTGAGTTAGACAGCATATATAATAGATATTTTAATTCAAAAGAAGATGCTTAAGTTTAATTTCCCTCTCAGCTTTTATTTCTTTAAACCGTTCTTAAGAAAATTAATTTCCCAGTGATTTATTGTGTAGTTGTATGCCAGGCATTGTTTTTGATGCTATAATTCCTTATCTTTGAGGAGCTCTTAGTCTAATGGAAATGACTGATAAAGAAATATTTTGTAATGTGATACAAGCTAACTCATAAAAGAATACTGAAAGCTCAGCACGAGAGCTTCACACTTCCTACAAGTGTCATTACTTACTTCCCTGTTGTTGTTGTTATGTGACTTCGAGTTCGACCAGACTCATAGCGACCCTTCCTTGGATTTCCAAGGCAGTATTGCTACAGAAGTAGATTGCCTAACCTTCCTTCTGAGGAGTGGCTGGTGGGTTTGAACTGCCAGCCTTCTGGTTGCAGTCAAGTGCCTTAGGCACTGTGCCACTAGAGCTCGCACTTACTTCCCTAGGAGAGGGAAATCCTTTGGGAAATTTCGTCACTGAGGTGATAGCTCAGTCTAAAGGCACATTAGGAGTTTATGACAAAAGGCAAGGAACATTCCATGTACAGATGGCTCCAAGCCTATGCAAGAATATGGCTTGTTTAAGTACAACAAATCAGATGTACGAACAAAACGTGACCCTGGCCTGTGAAGCCTCATCTATTAGTGCGTTTGCCCTCTTGTATCTGCCCTACTACTATCCCACTCTGTAATAATGTAACTCCCACTGCTGATAGAGCAGGAAATTTGACTCTCTAGTCACCATCCTTTGGAACTCTGAGAGAAAAGAGACAGAATGAGAAGAACATAAGATTTCTGAGGAATCTTTTTAAATCCAGTCCAATCGTCTAGCTGAGACTTGGATCCACTGATGGTTTTGGCTCTGCTGTCAAGTATGAGTAAACTGACAGGTGATGTCGAGCAATTTATTTAAGATTTTGAAGCTAGTAAGTAGCAAGAGTTTAAACTCTGGTTCTCTGTTTCTGCTTAGGCAGACCCAATCCAAGTTTTCCTTTCTGCTTAATTCTTGATCATATTGTGACTCTTACTTGTAAGGTCAAATTGCTAGTCTGGCTACATGATTTATCTTGACTGTACACTATTGAAACAGCATTGCGGCTCCTCCTTGTAGAATCATACTTCTAGCTTAAGTCTCTTGTTTACATTGTATGAGATTTTCTTAGTCTTAGCTACTACTTTCATCTGCTTAAATGGTAACTAGTCACCAGAGCCATCAGCTCCAAGTCGCCTACCATCTGAACTTTTGTCTCACCTGGGGCAAAGCAGAAGGCATTAGCAATCAAGTGTGTGTGTGTGTGTGTGTGTGTCTTTCCTAAATGAAGGTGCTCTGGTGCCACAATGCCTAAGGCATTTGATTACTAACCAGAAGGTTGGCAGTTCAAACCCACTGGCTGCTCTGTGAAAGGAAGGTGAGGCAGTCTACTTTCATAAAGATTTACTGCCTTAGAAACCCAATGGAGGTCGCTATGAGTAGAAATTGACTCAATGGCAGTGGGTTTTGTTTTCTTAAATGAAGTAATTTTAAGAGTAATTAATTTTATTCTTCATTGATGACTTCTTTGCTTCACATAAGTCATTTAGCATATTGCTTTGTAAAATGTGTTGTTTATACTGTTTAGATATGCAAGATTATTTTTTCTTTATTGTTAAATAAATAACTGTATTTGTTTTCAGTAGGAACAAAGGTGATCATATTTTTTTTGTGAGGATCAATTTAATTCTCTTGGTTTTGACTATTTAAAAGATATCTTTATGTAAGATTCTTGGTAAACTTATATGTACTTTATTTACTCCTTTAGAATTGGCCTGCAGGGTGATAAGACTGATCCAAGGGCGAGTAGCTTCTTATATCTTCTAAATATACTCCCAAGGTAAAAATTTAGATTCTTGTACAAGCTTACCTTAAATTTAAAACTTTGGATCTGAAAGAATGTGTTGTTTATCGTTTTGCAGAGATTAGCAGCTTGTACATATTCCATTCAGATACTGTGCATGTCATGGGAGCTCTGGTAGCATAGTGCCTAAGGCACTTGACTGCTCACCAGAAGGCTGGCGGTTCAAATCCACCAGCCACTCCTCGGAAGGAAGGTTGGGCAATCCTACTTCCGTAGTGATACTGCCTCGGAAACCCAAGGAGGGGTCGCTATGAGTCGGGGCCGACTCAACGGCAAACAACAACAACAACAATAGAGTAACCGCTAATGTCTCATAATTCCACTTTTGCTGCCACCATGTCTGACAGGGAATTACAAACTCAATAGCTAAGTTCTGTTGCTTCTGCTCATGTATTAATTCGAATGATGGTAATGTTAGTGAATGCTGTTTCTTTGGTCTAGAAACTTCGCTAACCTGAGGACCTTCATCCTATATGAATAGCAACCCCTTCTGCAGTGGGATGGCTCTGTGTGAACCATGTTTTGAGATAAGCTTCAGTGGAAATTAACAAATCAGATGTTAGCTTTATTAGGTGTGCAGTGCTTATGGGAAATATGAATAAAATATTAGCAGTCTCCTTCCCTTATAAAATTCCCTTGTAAAAGGAGAATTCAGAAATCTGTTTACCTCATGTTTTCCACAAGTAATGATTTTCCTCACTTTTACAACTTGTCATTATTGAGCTTTTTGGAATTCCTTTTTTTTTTAATGTTTGTTTTTATAGATTACAAAAGTTACCGAAGTATATTCTTTTAGAAAATGTCAAAGGTTTTGAAGTATCTTCGACAAGGTAAAAAATTTACTTGTCTGTGTACATCTTAACACTTGGAGTGTTTTATAATAGGAACTGTTGTGAAATAAAGATTTTAGAAATACACATATACTCTGACATTTTATGGGAGCTCTGGTAGTGTAGTGGTTAAGGCACTTGACTGCTAACCAGAAGGCTGGCAGTTCAAACCCACCAGCTACTCCTCGGAAGGAATACTGCCTCGGAAACCCAAGGAGGGGTTGCTATGAGTTGGGTCTGACTCGATGGCACATAACAACAACTGACATTTTCTATGTTATATATTTTATTTCTTAAAACTGATTAATTAATAATGTAGAATAGTACAAAAGTTGGCACAATTGATTATCTCTTATTATGATATGTTTTAATGTTTTTCAAAATGAGCACTAATATAAGTGAGAATTGTATTTTACAATTTTAGTTGTTTTTCTTGGTGCCCTGCGAGGCAGGTCTACTCTGTCCTGCAGGGTCGGTGTGAGGGGAATCAATCAGTGGCAACAGGTCAGTGGTCAAAAGTGCCTATTTATATAGAAGTAGGAATGTTGTCAGTAAGAATTGGTCATCTTGACAGGCATTTTCAGGAATTCAGTGGGAGAAACAAACCCTGTGTCATGGCCCTGTTAGATGGTAGCACAGCCTGGAGAGAGAACTTTTACCAACTTTGACTCTGCTGCTGTCTATAATAGTGTTCCCATCTAATTTGCTACATTGAAGATGTGGTACCATTTCCCATAGAAAATTTATCATCAATAGGATTAGGGATTCTAACTCACATAATTTTGATAAATTATCTGGCAGCTTTATTTATTTGTGTCAGGGAATTATCTGTATCTTTTTATTAAATGCAATTTTTCAAGCCTTGGAGTTAGTAAAAGGAGCACTGGTGGCACAGTGGTTAAAGTATTTGGCTGCTAACTTGAAGGTCAGTGGTTCGAACCTACCAGTTGCTCTGTGGGAGAAAAGATGAGGCAGTTTCCTTCAGGAAAGATTTACAGTCTTGGAAATCTTATAGGGCAGTTCTAGCTATTCTGTCCTGGAGGGTCACTGTGAGTTGGAATTGACTCAGTGGTGATGGGTTTTAATTGGAGTTAATAAAGATTTAGGATCAATCTTTTCTAAACAACCTGAATGGGGGAATAGTTTTCACTTAAAATGAAGTTTTATGTATTATATTTTATGTAGAGTACCCTGTTTCTAATCATACAGTGAAAGCTTTTCTTGTTTCTTTCTCTTTAGAGACCTACTGATACAAACAATAGAAAACTGTGGCTTTCAGTACCAAGAATTTCTATTATCTCCAACTTCTGTAGGTACCACAAATATACATGTTATATATATATAATAATTTAAAGGCTTTTTTTCCCTTAGGGGAATTTGATTCAATACACAGAATAGATCTAATTTGGATAACATTCTAGGTAAATTCTGAAATTTAGTTCAGGCATTGGTCTTACTATCTAAAGAATATTGTATATATGTCTCTTGATTCTTTTATACATATTTTATGGAAAAATTATATAGTTTAAAGCTAATGGAGGATTTCTTTTTCTTTCTACATGAAAATTTCATTTATATACATATATATAATATGTGGTTTGGTATTTCCAAAATAGGTATGCTGTAGTTTATTAATGCTTCAAAATAATCCAAAATGGAAAATAGAATGAATATATGATAATTTTCTACTTACTTTTTTGTGATATAATATTAAACACAAATATTACTTCCATTTCATGGGTAAGAATTGAAGTAATTTGTTATGATAAGATATTTGGCAGATCTTTAATTTTGCAAGTGTCATTGTCTTTTTTTCTATTGTCATTTGTATTAATTTCTTATCACTTTAGCCAATTTATACAGTCCTTTACCCTGAAACTAACAGAAAATGCATATCAAAATTTAGATACACAAGCTGTGGAAATTGGCGGTATATGTGATCTTTCTGTATTTATTTCATTTATTTCTTTTTAACTTCTGGAATTTATTGAAGCCTTTTTTTTATTGTTAAATAAAATAAGCTAAAAATGGCCAACAATAGCTATATTTCAATTTCAAATGTCTATAGAACTTCTTACCTGGGAAATAGAAAATGAAAGTGACTAAGACATATGATTCATCAGATTCAGTCCTTATGTCCTTCAAATAAAGGTACAGAGCAACTGTTAAGAGGATTAAGAATTTTCTACAAAGAATTCTTCCACACTCAATAATTGCAGAATTTGCTCTTGAAGAAGCTAAATGTATACCTGTATGAGTTTTTTTCCCAGGTGGTTAAAGGTACAGATCTTTTACATTTTCTCTATTAAATAACTGCTATGCTTTACTTTCAGCTTGGCATTCCAAATTCCAGGCTGCGTTATTTCCTTATTGCAAAGCTTCAGTCAGAGCCATTACCTTTTCAAGTCCCTGGTCAGGTATGATTGTCATTCATTTATTTCTTGCAAACATATTGAAGTCTGCCAATTTATTTTCAATAACCATTTTGTATATACTTTATCCTATAGAATTACTTCATACATAAACCATGTCCTAGGTCCATCTTCAAAGCTTTCTTCTTCTCATGCCACTTTTATTGCTTTAAACAAAACATAAAAACAAAAACTGTTATTTCATATTTAGGGAGAAAAAAAAGTTTAAAGTAAAAGATTACTATTAGTGTTGCATCTCTGTTTTCACACTATGATTACCCTTCTGACTGTTGACCATATTGCATTTACTGTTTTTACCCCAATAGCATCCATTGGCTGCTTTTGACAAAATTCAATGTACTATCTTAAAAATGCCTTAAAGGTATTTTTATCACATTGGTTGCAAGTCCCCCCCACCCTCACCCTCTTTTTTTTTTTTTTTAATTGTGGTTTGGGTAAAAGTTTACAGAGCCAATTGTTTTTCCATTCAGCAATCCATACACATTGTTTTGTTACATTTATAGTAATCTCCACCCTGTAATAGCATTCTTCCCACTTCCTCCCTAAGCCCACCCCTTCCTTTCTTTCTTCCTTCTTAACCATTCCCACCTTCCTAGCTCTATCCCTGGGCAAATGTTGTCCTCTTGATCTCATGTTTGATTGTTGTAATGCATGCGTATCCTCCTGATATTACTATTAACCTTATAGATTGTCTATCATTTGACTGTCAGTTGAGTCAAGGGGCTTTAAGTTCAGTTCCTAGCTTGAAGAGTGTCTTCTAGCCCTGTCTTGAAGGGCTAGAGTCTTAAGAGTTTCACCAGTCTTCCTTAAACCAGTAAGCCTGGTCTTTTTTATGATTTTGAGTTTTGTTCCCTGTTTTCCCTCACTTTATTTGAGGCCTCTTATTGTGATCCTTTTCAGAGCAGTGGTAGCTGAGTTCCATCTAGTTCTGGTCTCAGAGATGTGGAAGCTGGGGTTCACATGCTCCATTAGTCCTTTGGACTAATAGTTTCCAGTATCTTTGATTTTCTTTCCTCGTCTTTGCTCAGGATGGAGAGAAACCAATAGTTGTACCTTAGATGGCCACTCACAAGCTTTTAAGACCCTAATCACTACTTACCAAAGTAGGATGTAGAACATTGTCTTTTTGGACTGTGTTATAAGCCAGTTGACCTTCATGTACCCTGAGACTATGGTCCTAAGCTTCCATACCCTGTGGTAGTTGCAGTTTTTTTTTTGAAGTCAGTGCTTTTAGCTTTAATTAGTTAAAATATAGTAATGCTTAGTACAAGACAGAATATAAAGTCAATTGCCATCTATAGGATCCCTAATTATGTGAACAATTTTACATGCTTTGTCCAGAAGGGGTGTAGATAACAGAGAGTTTCAATGAAATACTGTAAAACCCTCACAGTTACGAACTCAAAATTTCTTAAGTAGGAACTAGTAGGAGATTAATAGTGTCATTGCAGGTGCCTGTAACACAATGCCAGTTTTTGCCCTTTCCTTTAGTGAGCAATTCCAAAAACACTGTGTGAACTTTATTAACAAAGACTTCATCATTATAAATTCCTGGAACTGTTTTTCTCTTACAAATTAGGATTTTATACATGATTATGGGTTGTACAGAAACAGGTTTTTCCTGAGGGATTCATGAGTAAAATAACCTGTCAGTGTGAAATGTGCTTTTTTTTCCTTTTCTTTTTTTGGATCACTATTTTTCTTTTAGACTATGGAGATTTTCCTTTTTAATGAAAGTAGTATGGCAAACTCTGATCCAGATACATATTCTGGAAATTTAATGCAGCTTCCTAAACTTCTTTTCCAAATATGATGCTGTGTCTCTATTCAACATGCTATTACTTTGTTGAATGTTTTGATGAACAAATACAGAAAGTCTTAATGAATCATTAGTAGCCTGATGACATTATGATCATATGACGAATAATTTGTAATAGTTTGTACAGAAAACAAGCAAACCAGAATTTCTGTCTTTTAATGGCAAGGGAGAGTTTTGCATAATGCTGACTGTTTATTGTTAATTTGTCTTTTATTTTTTATAAAGCTATTGACAATTTTGTATTTTTACTTAATTTCAGGTACTAATGGAGTTCCCCAAAATTGGATCAGAAAATCCACAGACACATGCAGTAGATACAGAAAAAAAAATTGAACCAAATATTTGCCAACATGGCAGCACACGATGCTCTGGAAAAGAGACCGTACTTTTTAAGCTTGAAACCACAAAAGAAATAGACAGGAAACATCAACAGGACAGTGATCTCTCTGTTCAAACACTAAAAGATTTTCTTGAACATGACATTGACGTAAATAAGTACTTGTTGCCACCAAAGTTATTGCAGCGATATGCTCTTATATTAGATATTGTTAGGCCCACTTGCAGAAGATCCGTGTGCTTTACAAAAGGGTAGGTTTAAGAGACTCTGTTCATGTTACATCTAAAATAACCAGGCTCTTACAAGTTTCTTTTTTTTTTTTTAAGTTTTTCTCAAAATAACAAAGAACATTTTATAAAATGTTTCTGCTAGAATAATTTTTTTTGCCCCTAATTGTCTGCTTCATGTCTAATAGAATGCACAAGTGAAAATTCTTTCTGGCAGAACATTAGGTATACAGCCCACAAAAGTGCTCATAAAAGACAATGCCATTTGTTTGGTGACCTTTGTTAGGAGCTTAATTATCCATGGTGGAAATGTGGTTCTATAGATGTTGAATTGCTAATTCTTTTAAACCTTTTTTCAAAATGGCACATCAAACCTCAAAAGTTTATATCTTCTCTCATGATCAGTGTATAAAAAGAAATTAAGTTTAAGTCTAAAGAAATAAAACTGAATCAACTGGGACACATTAGAGGAATTTCTAAATTTAAACTTTATTCAGATTTTTTCATTGGTGATATATTCCCATGGTTCAAAATTCAAAAGGTGCAAAGGTTGTAAGATTTCCTTCCACTTCTGTTCCTCAGCCATATAAGTCTCCCTCCTGACATGCAAACAGTAATACAGTTTACTGTCTTATTATTGTACGTGAGGTATTTTATGTTAGCTTGTATTTAAACATACATGTATAGTTTTATTCCCCATTTAAATAAATAGTAACATACTTGTATATGTTATGTGCCTTTTTTTACTATACAGTATAAATTTGGTATTACTTCATATTACAAGAGAACTTTTCTATTCTCATAGTATATAATTTTTGTAATTGATTACTTATTATTGGGCATTTAAGTAACTTCCTTTGGGTTGTTTCTTTAATTTTATCAGCTTTTTAAAACTAGAAAGAAAATTAGGACTTTCAGAAAAATTTTGTAAGTGATCCTTATCTCTGCTTTGTTATTAATGCCACACAACTTCACTTGATAGATAATTGTATAATTTGTAATATCAAGCTTCATTTCTTACCTATTGACTAGTTGTCTTGGACAAGACACTGTGCCCCTGATGTAGCCATACCAGACTCATTCTGATATTATCATACTCTGCCCTTGTACTTTCAAGGGAAAGGGTTTATTGCTTTCCATTACCTTAAAAGGCTTCTCTCAGCTATTGTCTGTTACCAAGTTCAATAGTTTCTGTTTAGGACTCCCATAAAACATGACATCAATTTTGTCATAAAAAACAACCTTGAAATTCCTCTGTAATTATAATGATGGTATAAAAGAAGCCATACAGAAAAAGTCTATTTTAGTGTGGATAATACATGTATACACATATTTATATATATGATAAACTCACTGCCATCAAGTTGATATATATGGTACATGTGAGAAAATGATTTGAAGACTCTATTTTCCCTAATGTAACTTTTCTCTTTAATTTTTATTTTGAACTGTTCTTTTAGGGGAGAAACAATAGTATGTTCAATAGCCAGCTTGGTAGTGATCTTGGAGGAAGAAATATTACTAATACCATGCTTTGCCACAGTGTGTTATACTTTTTGTACATGTTTTGTACAGTCTAATTTTATATAAAAGAGTAAAAACATCATACTGCCTTACAGTGAGAGACAGATACAGGTTCAGTGGATCATGCTATCCTTGGTATGGTAAGTAAGTTTGTAAGCTCTTAAGAAGAAATGATGATCCAGGCATTATAAAAAGAGGAACAGTTCAACAAGAACAGGCTATCAGAACTGCCAATGAAGCAAAAAAAAGCTAAGCAAGCATCTAAGAAGATAGCAGTGGCTGCTGCTAAGACTCCTACAAAGGCAGCACCTAAACAAAAGACTGTAAAGGCTGTGAAAGTTTCTGCTCCACGAGTTGCTGGAAGATGCTAAGTTGGCAGATGAAGCTTTTAAATTTA